CCCTGGGGCTAGAGGGGCCTGGTCCTGTGAACCCCAGGAATTCCTGTGTAGGATCAGGCCCCTCAAGTCCTGAGATGACCTGCCCAGTTTTTCCCACTTACCCAGACCTGCCTTGGAGATCCCAAGGGTGGGTCTGGGTGAGGAAAGTCTTTCAAAGACCCACTTACAAAGAAGCACCCCAGGGAATCCTGGGGCTCTTCTCAATAAGTAGGGAAAGTTGGAGTTCTCTGCTTATGGTGACATACTCTGGGATTTCCAGGGGCATATCTTTATAATCAGAGAAAACTTGTATGGGCATTGGTGTGGAGGGGTGGAATGACTGGTGATTTGTGCCTCCATGCCCTTAGTGTCTCTGGAAACTTGTTTGGGTAAGCAGGGAACTGGGGCTTTTCCCACCTACCCAGACCTGCCACTGGATTTTCCGAGGCAGGTCTGGGTAAGCAGGGAAAACCCACTTTCTCCACTTACATCCACTTTAGAGATTCTGGGGAAGCAGGTCCTGGTGTGGAGGCACAGGATATTGTAAATTCCTCAAGTTCCATTCCAGGATCCATATGGGCTCTGCCCAGTTCTGGAGATGTGCCCCTGGCAGGGCATGCCTCCCTAAGTAGGGAACCTTGACATTCCCCATCTATGGAGAGGTATCCTAGGATTCGCAGGGCTGCCTGTCTGTAAGTGGGGAAAGCCGGGCAGGTGCTCTCAGGGTTTGAGGGGCCCTTAAGCCCCCAGAGCACGTGCCAGGGTAGGTGGAGAGTGTGGGTAGCTCAGGCTGTCTGCACTCTCCTACCCCAGACCTAATAGATATCTACTGCAATGAAACAGCAGGATTTATGACTTCCTTTTGAAAGCCCACTGATTTTTTTTCCCCTCTCATGTGGCACAACAAAATTTAGAGATGACTATTTGCTCACCATTTGTGCTGCCATAATTTTTTTATGGCAACACAAATAGGATGTTAAGCGACATCTCTTTCTACCCTTAGTTGCTTAGAAGCATGTTGGTTGGCTGATAAACAATTATGTGACCTCTCCAAGTGGGCTGAATGACCTCTCATTGCATCAGTTGCAACACCACTCAGCATAAGCAGCAGAGTAGAGTTGCAATGGCTTGCATGTTCCATGCAAAATCAGAGAGAGAGAAGTAGTATTTTGTTTTACAGCAGAAGGAAAGATGGATGGATGGGCAGAGAGACATATGATGGAAAGACGGATGGATGGGCAGAGAGACATTTGTTTTCTTTATTACATGTCTGTTTTGTGTTGCAAGTAGCATCTCTTTGTTTCTGCCTATGAAAAATATATTTGCCCCTCAAAGTTTTAAACGCCATACGTTCATGCACTTGACATGTGAGCAGGCACTCTGAGCTAATTACACCAACATGAAATGTGCAGGGCTGAGCAGCGAGGTGCCAAGAATGTTATGGAAAACAGCCAAGTGTTTTTGTTGACATTGCTGAAATAGAACTTCATTTAGCAGTTCCTCCTCTAAGCCAAAGGGGAGTGAGAAGTAGGGAACAAAAGGGGATGGGGTGGGGAGAAGGAAGGAATAGCAACAAAAGCTAATAACAAAAATGTTGCCTTTTACCAGGTCAGTCACAATATTTGTGCAGTTGAGAACATCTTGTAATCTGCAAGTGTGAACGATGTATAGACAGAAAGTGTCTTAATCCTGCATTATCTGCTCACATTCTTTAGTAACTTTGAAGCAATGCTGTTCCACAGATTAGATTTTCTAGAATACTTTCTTTCTTAACCCTCCACTACTCCTCCACTTCCTTGCTGAAAAGTATAAATAAAATAGGTTCTCACTCACACGGTAATAATGTGTGTTCCACTAACTTTAGTGACTCTCAAAGCAGTCTTACTCGATGGTCCACAGGCCTCAAATGGGCCCTCTAGTCAATACCTGTGGCCTCTGGGACCATTACTTGTATGATGAAGTGAACCACATAAAGAAACCCTCTGCTATTTTAATAGTTTTTGTTGTCCCTATTTGATGTAAGTTGACAATAAGCTGAGCCAGCAGTGTGGCATTGTTGCCAAGAAGGCTAATGGCATACTGGGCTGCACTGGTAGGTGTGTTGCCAGTAGGTCAAAGGAGGGGATTAATTCCCTCTATTCAGTACTGGTGAAGCCACATCTGGAGTACTGTGTTCAGTTTTGGGCTCCCCGCTACAGAAAGGATGTGGACAAATTGGAGACAGACCAGCAGAGGGCAACAAAAATGGTTCTGGGGCTGAGGCATATGACTTCTGACAAGAGGCTGAGGGAACTGGGCTTATTTAGTTTGCAGAAGAGAAGACTGAGGAGGGATTTAATAGCAGCCTTTAACTACCTAAAGGGTGGGTCCAAAAGAGGATGGAGCCAAACTGTTCTCAGTGGTGCCAGAGGATAGAACAAGGAGCAATGGTCTCAAGTTGCCGCAAGGGAAGTTTAAGTTAGGTATTAGGAAGAATTTTCTCACTAGGAGGGTAGTAAAACACCGGAACAGGTTACTTAGAGAGGTGATGGAAGCACCATCCTTGGAGGTTTTTAAGACCCGACTAGAAAAAGCTTTGGCTGGGGTGATTTAGTTGGGGATGATCCTGCTTTGAGCAGGGGTTTGGACTAGATGACCTCCTGAGGTCCCTTCCAACCCTATTTTTCTATGATTCTGTGTAGTCAGACAATAGTTTCAGGAGTAATTATATAACATGCACTACTTTTTAGCAGAGAAATGGAAAGTAAATATTGGCCTGTTTGCTGTGGAGATTGTTAGTGAAAGGTTTGGTCTACGTGATGTTTGAAGTGATGCATCAATTCCAGCCAAGTCATGAACAACTTGAGAAGTTCTCCACTAGAAAAACTTATGCTAGATGAAGCCCTAGTCCAGTATTTATCCCATCTTCCTGGTGTCACATGGAGTTGGTGGAAGAGACCCTGATATTTGTAGATATTCCTCATTACTGTTGTAACATTTTAAAGGTGAAGCTGGTTCAAATATCGTTTTGAATTGAGCATTTCTATGATTCACATCCCCTGAATTCCATAGACTTCACTAGACTTGTATTAGGTGTGAATTATGGTAGAATATGGCATAAGCCATGTGAGAAGCTATTCTTTCATAACAAGGCCCTCAGGGAGTAGAGCAACGATTGTGCAACCCTCTCTGTAAGCCTAGCCTTGTGATTTAAGGTGTATGTGTATTTTTTGTTAGAACAATTTCAGAATGCACTTAAACTTAGTGGCTGGCCCATCAATGCCATTTAGAGCCATTCTAATGATTTTATTGGGCATTGAACTGGGCCCATAGTGTTGAAATGGTCTGGGTTGAATACTTGAGCTAGTATTCCACTCATAAAATATTCATAAAATAAGCATGGGTAAATTCTCATGGAAGTTTTTTGAAAATGGCCATTGTTGTTTACATATAGATACCACCTGAGAGACTTCCATTTGCTCATGCCTACTGAAATAATGGCAGCCATTACATTTGCCTGTTGCAGTCTTGGGGACAATTAATTTCTTAGAAAGGGAGAGCTCTGCAAACTGTTATGAAGCATTCTATTCATTCACAAACTTTCCATCAGGCCAGCCAACTTTGTGTAGCATAGCACTGCATCTGTAAGCACCTTTGACCACAATTTTAACCATGTCACCTCAGTCAAGTGGCTCACATTCCTAATGTTGTGCATGTATGTATGTGCTTTGTGGATTGGGGCCTTGGTAAACAATAAGTGCCAAGAGTCCACTATTTTTCTTTGTTTGGAATGAAGAAGAGAAATAGCTACATTTTAAATTTGTTCTCCCAACAATTATTAAATATGCATGGAATGCAAAGATTTTTGCCAGAAACCTGTTTAAAATTTAAGCCAGTCAGGGGCAGATCTAGAAATGGCACAGTGTGCACCCCTATCCCCTTTCCAGAATGCAGTTTGATGGCTCCAGACACCTGGGTGCACTGTGGAGTCTGCACCATGCTGCAGTAGTGGCAACCAGTAACATTTTTTATGTTCCCAAGCAGGTAAAAGTCCCTTCCCCACTTATCTCCTTTTGGCACCCTGTCCCTTCCACTCTGGGCTCAGTGGCACTTTCCCTCCCCTCCCATTTCCTCCCCCTCACCACCTGTATCTCTGCACACAGGAAGGGTAGACCTGCTCACTGCCACTGTCCCTGAGCTGCTTCTGCTCTGCCAGATCCAGCCGGAGCTGTGGGAGCTGGACTTAGCTGCGGACAGTGGCAGCAGCGGCATGCAGGTGGGTTCCCCCTCCCTGTCTGGTCCTCTTTGGGTGTTTCCAGCCAGCCCAGGAATAGGGGCACAGTTGGAAAATCTAGCCATTGCTGCTGTCCCAGGTTTAGTCTGTCTCCCTGTGCAACCACTCCCTGCAGCCCTGACTGAAGCAGAGGGGTTGTGGCTGGGACAGTGGCAGCAGTAGGGAGGTCTCTTCTTCCTGTGCCCAGAGGCATAGGTACAGGGGGAATGGGAAGGGAGGGGCAGTGCCATTGAGTGTGAAGGAGAACAGAGTGGGTGCTAGGGACAGGTGTGGAGAGGAGATTCTTACCTGATTTGTGGACTTAACAAAAATCCCTGGCTGCAGCTTTCACAGTGTGAAACTAATCCATTTTTTGTAGTTAACTTTGAGCTATGCTCATTCCTGCAACATGTCATGAAGTTGCACCAGGGATGAATCTGGTTCTTGTTAATGGATCCATGTGGGAGACTAATTATAGTTCCAGGTAGTGGATGAATTTAGATGTTTGGGTCTAAATTGTCAAGTGATTCTGGGTGCTACAATTTTGAGTTTCATCTTGGGCAAACCTTGAAGACACCTGGTTTTCCAGAAGGTTTAGAAAACTCGTACTTTAGTAGTCAAGGCTCTTTAAAGTGTCTCACATCGAACATGTAGAAACAGAGTTCAGCTGCTCCCAAAGTCAGAAGTCACTTTCTAAGAGGTTGAGTCATGGTTTTGTCTTTTGCTTTTCCCAGAGCAAGACCATTTATCTTGTTCCATTATCCTGTAGGTTATGATGTCCTGAGTTATACCATGGAAACTAATGACAAGTGGCATGGGAGAAAAGTACTTCAAGCAATTGAGGAGAATGCCACTGAAATTCCAGAGGATGATGAGCATCAGTACATCAAGAACTGCACTGAACCAGGTAGGAACAAACTGTTTCCCCTCCTCTTGAGGTCACTCCTACATAAATAATGGTCTAGCTACATATGCTCTGTACTACTGCTGCCAAAAGACTTTGGTTGCAAAATACGCCCATTTGTTTAGATGCATAAAATGTTTGTATCACATAGTCAGTATGTGAAAGATTAATGGTGCAACCTTTCAAGGGGAAGGATGCTCAGCTACAGAACAAGCCAGTTGTTTGAGGAATGCTAGTAGCTGAATCTTAAGGATCGGTGCAAAGAGCTGAGCACTGAGACTGTAAACAGGATGTTTTGCATGTTTGTTTCATAAATGTGTAGCTCAATCCTTAGTAAAAAGTTCAGGTAACCATGATGATTACCAGCAGGATTACTGGCTGGAAACCTGGTATGTAGTTTTATGCTTAAAAAAAATCTAAAATTGATTTTCAGGGAACGATTTGACTAAGATGAAGTTCCACTCTTTGAAGGTGCCTTTTATCATGTTGTTTGTTTGCTTATTCTAAAAACCTCTGTCTGTATATATAGGGTTATTTCCTTTTACTTTTCTTGAAAAAAATTACTCGCAGCTCTTCACAAAATTCTCCTTGAGTCTAAAAAAAAGTCAAAGTAGGGACTGTCTGTCATTTGTGTTCACTTGAACATGTTTGATGTTTTCTGTATGGAGATGGAAACCATGGTAATAAATCACTAATGGTGGGAAGGCATAAGATGCTCAAATCTTCTTCCATTAAAAAATTGATGTTGCCCCTCAAAGTTATGAAACAGCTAAGCCATTTTATATGCATCATAGGGCTATATTAGTTACCCAGTTAAGGAAAAGTTCTATTAAATATAGTTCATTTTGTAGCTTTGCATGTGTGTGTGTGTTCCCTTGGTACCTAAATAATGTTTTCACAACAGTTAGATAATAATGATTTATTTTCAAGAACAAAATTATTACAAAAGTTCTTATTCTATTCTTTCTATAATTATCCTCCCATACAAAGCAGTACTTTCCTTACAAACTCTACCACTGCTCACATAATCTCTTATTTCCATTCCTTCTGAGTGTTGACATTTGTTTTCTTGTAATCATAAACTACTCCCTCTACCTTCATAAATAAAATTGTCTGTTAGAAAGGTACTGTGTCTGTTGGTTTTGAGGGGAGGGGAGGAGGGAAGGACAGGCGAGAACAATAATTACCTGACTTAACTGTGCCATTTCGAGGCAATAAAGGAGAGCTGTGACTATGAGTTGTCACGAATTTACTATGGAATAAGTTGTTTTATGGTAATTATGAAATTAGTGTCACCATCATATGTAGATTTAAGATCAGAAGTTACCTACTTACGTTTCTGCCCTCTGAGACATTCCAATGAAGTGAATGGAACTAGATACAGAATGTGAACGTAAAAGTGCAACTTTATATCTTTGCAGGAGAAAAGTCAGAAATGTTATGCCTGAACCTTATAAACACTATGAGAATTCTCTGTTGATTTCTGTGAGCTTTGGTTAAGGCCCAAAATATTTCAAATTGTGATGTTTATATGAAACCAATTAACTGAGAATTGGTTTCTGGATCCTATGACTGGAATGGAGACAGCTAAATGCCATAGCCATTCTTTAACATATCTGGTCACTTTTAACAAGAAAACTTTTACCCGACCAAATCTACTTAGATTATAAGGAAGTAGTTTGGCAAGCTCCTTGAAAGATTATTTTATTTATTATAGAGTTTTGTATAGTCTCTATCAGGATAGCTATCTGGGTGTATTCATATGGTTTTATAAAAGCTACTAGCATTAAGTCCTATACAATGTACATATAACAGAAGTAATACTGTAACTAGCACATCCTAGGAATCAACTAAATTATTTTACCTTCACTCTAAATTTTAATATTTCAAGCTGCCTTTCTTTTAAGGGACAGCTGTGAATTTGAAATCAAGCTAATTTAAAAAAACAATAGTAGTAGTATCGGGTATTAAACTACTGTAGTTCTGTCTGCCAATTTTTGTGGTATTATATTTTCATTTCATATGTTGTTGGCTGGCTGGAGAAACTTCATCAAAATCATAATCCAAGCTATGCTATTCCATTGACATTCAAATGCTTCACAAAATTAAGTCAGTTTTGTCTGGATTTAGCTTCGGAAGAAAGCTCTGATGACACTGAAATATTCTAATTTCATATCTTTATATTTTGATTTTTCATGTTATAATGACAAAGTTTCAAAATTTATTTTGAATTATGTTACAGAATAGAATACAAAATATAAAAATCAAACTGAAATAATTTGATCAACTAAAAAACAACTTCTTAGAATATTCCTTTGCAAAGATTTTTTAAAAAATTGTTCGCTTGTGCTTTAGTTTGAAATTAAGCCAAATTTTAAAGTCTAAAAACCTTCATAAGCCAGAGATGAATGAAAGATGCACTTCTGTTTGTTTTGGTTTTCTCTCTTGCTGCTACTTTAATTATGACAGAACTAGAGAAACAGGAAAACTGACTTGGGTCCCAATTTTGTAACTGCATCTATGTGGCTGCAATGCACCCTCAAATTCATCCCACTGCAGGATTGTGGTCTAATATGTAGCTTCATTCACACGGTTTTACTTACCTGAGTAAAGTTAAGGCAGTGCATAGGTATTTGCAGGATTTGGGCTAAATTAACTGAAGGGAAAGCAGTGAAGCATGGATCCGCATTTTGAGGATTGATGTAAATGCACTGAGGAAACATGGAGGTAACTTTCCCTGATTTACATGTAGTACTGGGGGGAGGGATTAATGTATTTTGGGGGGTTTATTTAATTTTTTGTTTAGTTTTAGTGATTTTAGGAATTAGTCACCATAGCAAAGTACTCCTAAAGGAAGTATTAAATGATGACACAGTAACAATGGTACTTTAGGGGCATGTGCAGATGCTCCCACTGGGAAGAAAATGCAGACACAACATTTCAGACAAAAGTACAGTATATTTTTAAAATGGAAGTCTCTCTAAGTAATAGAAATCTGCCTGTCTTTTTTGTAGACGCTGCTCAAAGAACTAAAAATGTTTTGTTTTGTTTCTTCTTTAAGGATGCTTCACAAACTTTGATTAAACTTCTTTGTTGGAGCTGGTTTCAAAACAAGTCTTCTGAAAGAACAGTATTTTTTCTCCATCAAGAGATGCTGATTTGATGGAACTGACATGTTCCTTAGGAACATGTCAGTTCTGTTAAAATGCTTTGCCTTGTGTCCTGAGCTCTGGCCAGCCTGACTTTTGCCATCCCTGTCTACCTAGCGAGCTGCTTTCTAAACTCATGGCTCTTTGGAAAGTCAGGTAACACAAGGAGGCAGCTGGTTCCCTTGCTCGCTGGGTGACTGTCTCTTGGGGGTGCTCAGCTCCTCAGGTCTTCAGCTGCTGTGGGAGGCATCTGCTGGGGCAGTCATGGAACTGGGTGTCTGAGCATCTGCCTAACTCTCGTGTGCAGATTCGTATGCCCAGGAGGTTGAATGGCCAACCATAAACCAACAACTTCTGCAGTGGTTGTTCAATACCTGAGATTTTTCAAAATTTTCCTCTCTGGTTTTCTTTTTTTTTTTTTAAATTGACTTTTTCAATCCCAGTTTGGGGTTCCCCTCCTGGCAAAACCAACATTTTCCACAGGAGGGAAGTGCTGTTTTCTAGCCTGTTCTCCCCTTTGGAAAGAACTTCATTTTAACAAAGCTTCCAGTGGCAATTCTCTCTCTTAAATACAGGATTGTTGAGGGGGTGCAATTTCATTTACTTTGTTGTCAGCAATGGTTATGCTGCATTATCCATTTAAACTCCTGTAATGATATTGGTTAAACAGTTAACTGATAACACATGCCTAGTACCTGCATGCTGCGACTAATCCTCCCTCCCCTCCTCTCTCCCTTCCAAGTCAGTGACACTTTGCAGGGAGAGGGAGGTAGAGGCAGAGCCACATGCTGTGACTAGCCACCTTTCTGGAGCACTGTGCTGCTCCCCTTCCCCGCCGGACTGTCTGGTGCTAAAAGTTAACTGTAATGCATTAACATTATAAGTATACAGGTTTCCCTTGCTTTTTGCTGTACGTGTGTTTCTGGTGCGTAACTTGAATTCACATAAAGGGAACCCACTTTACAGTGTAACAAATAGGGATACATTCCAAGACCTGGTTGTACTGACCCCCAGACCCATTTCTACCACTTTTACAAGACAATGTTGGTACTCACAAACAGCAGACAGCACACACAAGCACAGGGCACTATCATAATGGGGATGGCAGCTACAGAAACCCGTGTTGCAGACAATGAGCGAGGAGCACAGGTCCACACAGGAGACTATATTTTGGTGTGCGTCACTTGTACAACGCACCGCACAAAGCAGCAGACTGCGGGCTTCCACCACCCTGATCGCGTAAGAGTGAATTTACCTTGCATATAACAAATTTTTGGTATAAAAAGGGTCATCGCATAGGAGTAAATTTGCACATACAGAACCTGCATAAAGCAAGGGAAACCTGTACTTACCATTTAACCTTTCTTGTTACTTTGAAGATAATGGGAATCCTTCCATTGGCTTCAGTGGGTTTGGGATCATCTCCTTTGTCATGTGTAACTTTGAGTCCCGGACTGAAGGTGGAAACATGGATAAATATAATGGTCAAAAAGGATACATTCACAGGAACATATCTTTCTGTGCAGTCATACTCAAAGGGCTTGCCTACGCGGGAGATGCTCAAGTAAGTTAAGGCAGTTCAGCTAAAAGTGTGAAGTCAGTTTGTCTGATGTGAGGCCCATGGAGTAGGTACTGTTATTCAAGAGTATAGAGGCCTTAGCTCAACTGTCCTTAATACTCCTCAACATTCGTACAGGGTACAGTGCCCTTTAAATAATAGAGAGAGTCGTTAGCCATGTTCATCTGAAATGAGGCAGAAGTTGGGGTAAATTTGCAATTTACAGATTAACTAAATCAGAGGTCTGTGTGCATGGGATAAATTTTCATGAGCTCTAGTTCACTTTGTCAGATGCT